ACCTTATTATTAAAACAATAGGTGGTCTGCTTCCTTTCTCTTCACTTAAGGAAAAAAAAAATGAACCACAATTCATAAACTAGTCTCAAGGCCCTTTATAAACTGAAAAGAATTTGTTTCCAAGCAGGACAGCTTAGAGAAGTGTGGGAAGCTTGTGAACCAAGGAATGGAATGTTCCTCTCATGGACTTCAAGAGGAGGCTCTCTGTGTTGGACCCTTAGCCTTAAGTGCTCACAGCAAGCCCACAAGGAGATGTAATTGTGTCACATCTACAGATGAGGCAATAGAGGCCTAGAGATGACAACTGCTTTGCAATGGTCACATGACCTGCATTTGGGGGCGTTGAGATTCAAGGCCAGATATCTCCAGCCTTCAGTGCCACATGGCCCCCACAAACTGCTCTCAGGGTCAAGCAATGATGAAACAGGCAACTCTTCTTGACCCCATGCCAACCTCAGAGGTTATCACCTTTTTTGTTTTTATATCAGTATAAATTGAATGTGTAAAAATTGCCATTCTTCTTAATTCTGGCAAATCCTCAGAATTATGAAGGATTATTTTGGAAGAGTTGTGTGGCCTTGGGCAAAGTCATGCCAATTTTCAGCCATGGTTTTGACATCTGTGCAATTAAGATAACACCCACTCACTGGTTGCTGGGCAGATTAAATGAAAAAATAGTAAAAGAGCTTATCACCTTGTCAGTGCTTAATAATTGTAGGTCCTATTATTGAATAAATGGTATTTAAACAATAACGTATCTGTTGAATATGTGCCCTGTGTTTGGTGCTGAAATGACTGTATCTAATTCCCCACAACCTAGGTGGTAGATACTACTTTTACAGAAGAGGAAACTGAGGCTCAAGGAGGTTACACAGGAAATGGATGACTGGGATTTGAACCCACACACACTGAATTTAGAGGGCATATTTTAACTATCATGCTATCTGACCCTCCAAGAAATAAGCATGGATAGACATTTCATGTGGCCAAGGTTGATCTTGATGACTTGCTTTTGTTTTATTAATCCCCATCTAACTCCTTCTTGGGAAATGAATGGTGTTTGTGTGAGAGCCTCACTCTCTTAAGGATACTACACTCAGAAACCTCCATCAATTGTTTGCAGTTTTGCCTTCTCATAAACTCTCAAAAGCAAGCCTCATGAGGTCACCAGAGCAAGTGGCAGAGGTGGTGCTCCTAGAAACTCTTTTTGTGCCTGATTTCTCCCCAGAGAGGGCCTTGCTCCTCGGGTTACAAGGTGACAGGAATAAAAACTCAGCTAAGAAGGCCTCCACTGACTTTCCTTCATTATTTATTTGCTTCTTTATTTGCACCTCTTCCAGAAAAGATTGGAGGTAGAATTTTGCATCAAAGATAGCCACCAAAATATCTGAGCAGGCTTTTTACTAGAACACAGTGCAGCTTCGGGTACAGAACATGTACACTGTGTTCTAGTAAAAAGCCTGCTCAGATTGGCCAGAATCAGAGAGGCGGTCTATTTAAAAAAGAACTAGTGTTGCCTCAGAAGTGGGGGGTAGTCTTATACAGCGAATATAGGCCTAAACCTATGTTTTAACTGTAAAATTAAGGGGTTGTCTTATACGCTGGAAAATCTCGGGGGGTGGGGGAGTATGTATATATCATGCTATCATGCTATCTTACCCTGCTCAGTGCCCACAGAATAAAGAGGATTTCAAGGTTTCCTGGTCTTCTCCAACAGAAGAGGCTTCCAGAAGGAGGCGCTGTGGGACACCTCTGACACATGGTGTAGGGCTCACACCAAGGCCCATGCACAGAAACACTTTCTCCATTTTTTTTAGCTGCACCTCTAAAGGAAGGGAGGACCCAAGGAGAGAGGAGGGAGGGAGGGAAGGAAAAGAGACCTCCTCTTCATTGTCATTCCTTGTTATTAGGAAGCAGATTCTTCCACATCAATTCTGAACCAAGCACCCCTCTGAGAACAAAGAGAACCAAGCATGTCCTGGCTGCCTTTGGGACGGCTGGCTCTGTGGGACTGAGGGCAGGGGCTGCGCACAGGCCATGGTTCTGTCTGTGGTTCAAGAAGGGCTGTCATGGCAACAGCCAATGTCAGGTGTCTGGGGCTCCCCCGGTTCACGTGGCTAATATTTCCTGTGCTCTGAGCTCGGCGTGGAAGGATAAAAAATAAACATCACAAAGCCTGACTTCAAAGAGTCCCCAGTGACTGGGAGAGGCAGGTGCACAAATGGATATCCTATAGCAGTGGTCAGCACACTCATTAGTCGGCAGAGCCAAATATCAACAGTACAATGACTGAAATTTCTTTTGAGAGCCAAATTTTTTAAACTTAAACTATATAGGTAGGTACACTGTTATTTACTTAATTAGGGAACTCATAAGCTGACATTTTCTAAGAACATCCTCAATCTGATTGAGGTATACTCAAGGGGCCAAAGAGCTGCATGTGGCTCACGAGCCACAGTTTGCTGACCACTGTCCTAAAGGACCCATTAACACTTTCTACCACTATCTAGGGAGCACCTCCTCTGTGCCAGGCATTGTGCCGCATGACAGGCATTCGGAGTGACCCTGAAGCTTGGAGTCTAATTTCAGTTTGCTATTTAGGATGCTGTGAGAGCTCAGAGGAGAGTTTCTACCCAGACGTAGAAAAATCCTGGAAGATGGTGTGGAGATGTAAGACAGAAGGGGGTAGAAAGGGAGCTCTGTGCAGGAGGAAGAGCATGATCAAATGCACGTTGGCACGAAATGTTTTGTACGTAGGACACTACAAGGCTGGGTGTGTGTCCATCCTTCAGTGGTTGGTTCTTGAGATTGAACTTGGAGCCCCTGGAGCACGGGCTATAGCAGCGCCATGGGAAGCTGATGGGCCAGTCCAAGGCACAGCTCCTGGAGGCTCTGAGGAGAAACATGTACCTGGGCATACCCTCTTTTACATATAGTCACGTTCATCCATATGTCCTCCCATGCAAGTTCCCTGGAGATGAGTCTCACGCCCCTGGTGTGTAGTCTGTGCTCATAGCGTGCTCTGATAAACCCTTTAAAGAGCAGCTTTTTTAATGGGGGGGAGGAGAGAGGGTAGGGGAATATCTGTAATACTTTCAGTGACAAAAATAATAGCAGCTGTGGGGGTTCAGAGATAGATCAAGATTACACAGTTATCGAGAACGTGGCAAGGTTGCCGTGCAGAGAGATATGTCCCCCCCTCTCTCCTCATGGACCAAACATCTCCTTTCTTCTCTCAGACATCAGTCAGGGCCCTACTGCAGGCCAGGCTCACATTGTCGTACTTGGTCATCACTCAGCTCTGTAGGGTCTGTGCAGTGGCCCCTGTTTTGCCAACGAGGTGCCTGAAGCTTGGAGATCTTCACTAACCTGCCCAAGACCTCTCTGTCCTGATAGAATCAAGACCAGATCATAGCTACATCTGCTTCACACCTGCTTCTCTGAGACTTTCCACACATGCATCCTTGGCGTTCAGGCCTCAGTTCAGACGGGAACTCTCTTGATCTAAAGAGGCCACCGTACTTCCTTTCATAGCACTAATCCTCTCTGTCGGGACAGCCCCAGCTTCTTCTTCATCTGCCTCTCTCCCCCAGCTCCACGAGGCAAGGACCTCTTTGGACTCCTTTACTACTCTATCCGTGATGCTCCAAGCAGAGCCTGGGACATGGAAACCCCAGCAAATGGTTGCTTCGTGAACACAGCCATCTGGCTGGCCCCTACGCCTGGCCCTCTCCACTGTCCTGGCACAGCGCAAGCTGGTGGCCAGTGGCCCACCAGGAGCTTGTGAGGAGCTCCTGGTGACTGCAGACCGCCTTTCTGAGTCCAGGACTTTCTGGGCTTTTCATGGGTCAGAGCAAGCAATTGCACAGAGTTTCATTTCTGCTTCAGTGAAAGGACTGTCCAGCAATATTCTGTGTGACAAACATTTGAGATTCATAAATGAACAGTTTTCACAACTTGTGTTTCAGGATGATTCAGATTCATTCTTCTTTCTGCCCTCGAGTCAGTGTTAGGGTTGCACTGACCTCGGACACTCATCCTTGCAGAGTATGGGAAGCTCACTGTTGTCAGCAGGCACTGTGAGTGCTCGCTGTGAACGTTGCTCTGTATTGGCTCTTACTTTTGATCATTTGTATTGCTATTTCAGTCCGTTCATGTGTACACGCACTCATAGTGTTTATGTTGGTTAATTGCTGTGTTTCGTGGGGTGCCACCTTAATTGTGATTTTGCTCCTCTCTAACACTTTCTTGTCCCCAAATTATTTTTTCCACTGAACATCAGTGAGGACCATCAGCCCTAGAAAAGTGGGTGACAGTCCTGAGTATTTGGGAAAGAATCCTTGCACCCCACCTCAGGACCTCACTGAGTTTCTTGAACCACCATTTTTTTGTTTGTTTATGACAAGGCGTGTGTGTTCCTAAAAGTCAACACCTTAGGTAAAATGAGGACATTGGGTGAGGGGCACAACCCTCAGAGACATCACCAGTGATGCATAAAAAGAAATGAAAGGAAAAGCATTAGCACAGCTTTACACGGCATCCTGGCTGAGAAGCACAGGTGCTACAATAAGTATGGCACTTGACCTTGAAGAGACGTGGCCTTTGCTTGTGGAAGTGGCCGTGGGGAGGGTTGTGGCTTGTGCATTACTGTGAACAGGTGGGAGGAGGGTGGTCTGAATGGGATGGAAAGTTGTAGCCATGGATGTAATGGGTGCAGCTCCTAACAGGGTGGACCAAGGAGCTGGTTGATGTTCAAGGTGTGTCCGTGTGCACGTGTTGTACATTCCTAAATGGCTCACTTCCGCTAGGCACAGATTCCTGCCATCGCCCGGTATTTCTCAGCAAGGCAGTTTTGCATAAACAAATGGGAGGTTCCTGTCATCCTCGGATTACTCCCTCATATGTTAGTTGTGTTGGAACAAGCTCATATATTGAAAGCAAGTGTCCTAGCAGAACTGGCTGTCCCTGATGGACTTCTCATCCTTCCCTTGTTTATTCAGACTGGACCAAGAGGATTGAGTACCAGCCCGGCTCGGGGAGCGTGCCCCTGTTCCCTGGCATCCACCTGGAGACGTGCGACGGGGCTGTGTCCTCCATCCAGCTCACCACGGAGCTGCAGACCAACTACATCGGGAAGGGGTGTGACCGGGAGACCTACTCGGAGAAATCCCTTCAGAAGCTGTGTGGTAGGTTTTCCCCTGTGGAGGGTTCCTTTAATTAATTGTTTTTAAATGTTATATACAAAGCATATCTGATTATAGTATGAGAGTATCAGCCCTTCCCACCACGTTGTGACTCCTGGATGAATATTGAGTTTATTTGGTGTGGTTGAAGCCATGGTTGGCAGACTGCGGCTCGCGAGCCACATGCGGCTCTTTGGCCCCTTGAGTGAGTGTGGCTCTTCCCCAAAATACCACGGCCTGGGCGAGACTATTTTGAAGAAGTGGCAATAGAAGAAGTTTAAGTTTAAAAAATTTGGCTCTCAAAAGAAATTTCAATTGTTGTACTGTTGATATTTGGCTCTGTTGACTAATGAGTTTGCCAACCACTGGGTTAAAGGGTCAAAAGGCACAGTTTTTGGCATCAGGCACATCTGACCCCGCTGTTTACCCATTGTGTGGGGAAGGGAGGTGACAAAGCTTCTATTCTTTTCCAGTAAAACGGGGATTAATGACACAGTGTGTTCCAGAGCACCTAGCGCAGGTCCTGAAGAAATACGGCTTTCCTTCCACTGTGCCCGTTTATAGAGGCACCTGACAACATGAAGGGTGCTGTCAGTGACCTGGGGAGAGGTTGGCCTCCTCCCCACAGGACCAGCACATCATTTGCAGGGCCCAGGGCAAATGGAAATGTGGGGCCCTTATGCAAAAAATCCTGAAGAATTTTAATAATGAAACCACAAAGCATTCAACCAAGCTGGGGGCTCTGTGAGGGCCCGGGTCAAATGCCGGTAAAGCCCGGCCTGGCTGCCCACGTCAGAGAAGGCCTTGGGTGGGGAAGGAGTGGGCAACGTGAAGGTGTCCAAGTGTGGGGGAGGGGCCTACCTCTGTGAGTGGGGAGATGTGCCACAGGAAGGAGCAGGCCGGGAGCTAGGACAAGGGCTGAGAGAGGGGTGCTACCCAGGTCACTTCCCTTTATTGAACACCTGCTTAGTGCAACCTGCCAGACTTTTCACATGCATCTCTCTCTTTTTTATTTTTTAATATATTTTATTGATTTTTTACAGAGAGGAAAGGAGAGGGATAGATAGCTAGAAGCATCAATGAGAGAGAAACATCGACCAGCTGCCTCCTGCACACCCCCCACTGGGGATGTGCCCACAACCAAGGTACATGCCCTTGACCAGAATCGAACCTGGGACCTTTCAGTACGCAGACCAACACTCCATCCACTGAACCAAACAGGCTTTGGCCACATGCATCTCTTTATTGACTTCTCTCATCCTCACTGTGAGAAGGGTGTTCTTCACTAACTTTAGAGATGGGAAATGTGAGGCCCAGAGAGGTGACACCCATAGAAAGTGACAGAGCCGGAATGTGAAGGCGGGCCTCTCAGAAGGAAAGTCTCTTTAGCTCAGAACCTGAGATTCTAGGCCAGGCCTTGGGAGCTAGGAGGGAGGCTGTCCCGTCAGCCTGTGGAATTAGAGGATGCTCAGGACGGTGGGGATGGTCCCGTAGACGTGGTGAATGAGACTGTTGGTGTGTCGATGGGCCTCTTTCATCCCCACCCGAATACGTATGTGTTATTTCTTCTTTGTTCTCTTCAAAAACACTCAGGAACTCACTTTGACTCTGAGGCAGTGCTATGGGGAGCTTAGTCTTGCACCAGGCCTGTATTTGGGGGCAACTACATTTCCACAAAGGAATGGGGGCTCCTGAGCACAGTCCAGCCTGCCATCCCCTCTGGGGGGTCCCTCCATAACTGACTTTGGAACATTTTCCCCCATCAACATAGTTACACACACACACACACACACACACACACCCCTTCATCAAAATTGCTGGTTGCCCAAAGAGCCAAGGGAAACTTTGGGAGCTGAATGTGAAATACACCCCGCTTGGGCATCACCGTGTTCCATCTATTATGTCACCAGGCCGGCAAGGAAGGCCTGCGGGGACACAGACTTCTCCAGAATGATGGAGCTGAGCAGGGCCATCCCCACATCCCCAGCAGCCCTTGCAAAAATGGATGTAAGGGGCCCGCAATATTCAGAAAACTGCCTCTAGTCCTCTCCCCCTCTCTGTGGATGGAGACGCCACCCCAGACAACATCTCACTGTGAATGAATATCCCATTTCGCTCCCTGTGCACCTAAACGATCACCTAAATTATGAGTCCATTCGACCCCGCTGCCACCCTGTGGGGCACAGCCATTTCCTAAACTCCTCCAGGTCGCCAGGCGGTGATGGAATCGGCTTGTTAAAGATCAGGAGGGCCCAAGGGCACACACTTGTGATTTGATCTTGAGCACTGCTGGGTGAGATGAGGAGATATGGGGAGTGAGAAGGCTTTTCTGTGGGAAGAAACTTGAGCTCAAAATTGCGCACGGCTCATTCCCCTGGGCTGCCAGCTCGCCTTGCAGGGGGGAGAGGAGTGGGGGGAGAGACAGGTTAATTCAGCCAAGAAAGCAGTTTCCTGAAGGCGTGTGCAAGATGACCTGGCGCTCAGGGAGACCCTTTGTTGGGAGAAACCCGCGTGTCCTTTTGGTGACCTTCCCGATAGTGCCACCCTCCGCACTGATGGGAAAGAACTCTGTCTGAGCAGCCCTGATGGGCAGTGCCACGCCAGTTTCCCTGTTCAGAGTCTGGATCTTGAATTCCGCTGAGATGGAGCTAAGGGAAAAGGGCAGAGGCAAGTGAGTGGGACTCAGATGCCCATCTGGTGGGAGAATCTCCTTCAGAAGGAGGCAGCACATTCTGAAGTGACTGCCAGCGAGGGAAACGCAGGCTGGTGGCTCCCAAGCGGAGCCTGGGTCTCTGGTCCCTGCAGGAATCCAAGGTGCTGCAGACAAGCCTCTGTGTGCCTCCAGTGGATGGTAGGCGAGTTTCTCACGGGGTCTCTCAACCAGGGTACTGCCATGAGCCTCCGCATTCATGCCTATTCTATTCTACAAATCTTTATTGACTTTGTGTAGAAACAAGGAGACCAACTAGGATGTGATTGCCACAGTCTGAGGGAGAGATAATGAGTTCGGAACCAGGGCAGAGGCCGTCAGGATGAATTTTAGACAAGAGTTAGGAGGCCAAACCGGCAAGATTGAACGATTCATTGGCTGTCAGGAGTGAGAAAGAAGGCGTCTGAGATGACTCCAGGGTGAGCATCCAGCTGGATGAGGGTGCCTCCCGTGAAAGCCAGGAACCCAGGGCAAGAGCAGAGTTGGGGGCAATGGTGGCAGGCAACCGTGGAACCTCCAGGTGGTGCCTCACTCTAGCCTTACCCTCAGTCCTCCTGAAGACCTGCTTCCACCTGCCCATCCACCCTCACGGCCCATTGCCTCCTGATGCTCTGCCTTCTTGGCCAGCATGGCTCCTTTATCCCTGTGCCTGGCTTGTTCCCGTCCCTAAGGCTCATTTGTGTTTCTTTCTGCTCGGATGCTCTCTCTCCCCCTGCATCATTCTAAACCCTTCCCTTTAGTCAGTATTCTCCTGCCCTCTGTGGTCACTGGGGGCCGAAGGGGAGTTGGGGGGCCATCCTAGGAACTTGCCCTTGTGCCTTTGTATTCCTGCATCTCTTCTCTGCTGCTGTGGTTGTGCAGGGACCCAGGCAGGGGTGTCTCCTCAGAGGAACCTGGATGTCTGGTCATCGCCCATCTGCTTCCTCTGCCTGCAGCATGGGCTCCATGAGGAGCAGTGATTGAATCCTGGTTAGGGGGAGTCAGACAGTAACTGTACAAAGTCTGCTATCAGAGGGGACCTGGCAGGTACTTGAAATGGCCTCTCTGGTTTTTGTTTGTTTGTTTTCACTTATCTTTATTGTTCAAACTATTACCTACGTCCTCTTTTTTCTCATGGACCCCTTCTAACCCAAAACCACCCCCCACCCCGGCCTTCACCACACTATTGTCTGTGTCCATGAATGGTGCATATTGCATATATGTTCTCTGGTTGATCTCTTCCCACTCGCCCCCCACCCCTGCCTTCCCTCTGAGACTCCACAGTCTCTGTTCCCATTGAAGTGCCTGGGAGCCTGAATTAAGTGGTCTTAAGTGCCAGGAGGCAGGTGTATTGCTGCCTGAGGTTTGTACACTGAGACTCTCCCACTCCGCCTTGAAGTAAAGATAATCAGGGCCCCGAACCCATGCCCCCTTCATCTTATGGGGCTGGACGCAGTCCCTGCTGCCTTTGCTTTGCAAAGAGCCAGGCTTCCGGGAGAAGTCAGGCAAAATCGCATATCACTTCCTCTTCGTCCCGAGACTTAAGATGAAGGTCTCTGGCGCCTCAGCCCCTGGCTCTCCGGAGGTGACGTGTCACGGAACTGCCCTGAGTATGAAATGCGTGGGAAAGCCTTTGGGAAGACAGACCTCTTGGTCAAATTAAATCTGACATTAACCACGGCCCGAGAAGAGGCCTGCTCCCATGACCTTCCATCGCTGCCCATCACGGTAAACAGAAAAGCAGTGCGTGACGCACATGCCTCCTGGGCCCCGAGGCCAGCGGCGGCACCTCCCGCACCCGTCACCCCGCAGCTCTCATGTACGTGGAGGCGTGAACTGAGAGGACGGGTCTCATGAAGGAAAGGCCACAGGATAAGAGCTGTTAATTCAAGCGATGGGTCTTTCAGAGCAGCTCAGGCCGCTGGACATTAAGTCATTCTCAGAATTCACACGCTTGGGAACTGGGAGGTTTTCATAGAGGATCCATTCATTCACTCAAGTATTTGTTAATTCAGCAGATATCTGTGCAGAGGTTTTGTAAGGTAAGGAGACCACTCAATTCAAGCTCCTGGGGAAGACAGACTACATATGGAAGTTCACCGAGAATCACCGACAGAGGCTTTATACCCTCAGAATAGCCCAACCGCAGGGAGTGTAGTCTCCAGTGCGCCCCCAAAGAGCCGGGGCTTCCAAGGGACAGTGTTGGCCCCTAGTCCTAGCCAGTGCTTCTATTCCCAGAGGGCAGAAGCAGGCCTCTGACTTTAAGGAAAACTTGTGCACACCCTTTGGGAATCTGATTCAATCACGAATCTTA